CTAGTACAGTGGTTAATACGTCTGCCCGGTAAGCAGGAGGTGCATGGTTCGATTCCATGCGAAGGGGGATTCTTTTTCTCCGTTCTGTCGTCATTCGAAGATAAGAGACAAACATATATTCTTAGCAAAGACACTAAATGTGACCGAACAAAACACTAGAAAAAATGTTTCAAACATTATCAATGTACACTGACCACCAACACCACTCAACCACGAGATACGAAGATTCGATATAAATTCTACCTATCCTTTACCGAGCTCAATCCAACTATAAAACCCTATATCGTACACTTTTCACTTCTTTCATTCTTATGTTCCTTCACTATCTTGAGCAGTTATGTTAATGAGGCCGTCCGAAGAGGCCTCTAGTAGGGACAAAATCATGATCACGGTAGCTTGACTCACACTCACACTTTGAACCTGAAAGATTCTTTAAGGAACCTAAAAATGTTTCGTCCAAAGTGTTCGAGTTTGTATCCATATGAAGAAGCTTTTCAAGTTTCGTAGTTCTGTCGAACCCTTTTTTGCCACTTCCAGGGCACGGTAATGCATCTTTCTGTATAGTATGATGAACATAGAAATATAAAAAGACAACTATACACTTGATACTGGTTTCCCCGTGGAAGCCAGTGACAAAACAACACGTACAGTAAGATCGAATAGATTGACGTCTTTTAATATTCATAAAACTATTATGTAACATTAGACTGTAAACATATCTGATGATGACTACTGGAGTAATAGTGGAAACATGTCATACAATGCTTTAAATCATTTTTATGTAGCCACATCCTCAAGCTCATAATTTTCCCGATTTGACACCTCTCTGGCAAAATAAAAGAACTATGGACTTACCACTTCAATTTGTACGGATCAACAGGTATCACAGTCATTTTAATGTGTTACAAATTTTAACCAAAACGAATGTATTCTTCTGGAAATATTGCATGCCTAAAAATATACTTTTGTGATTTTTTTCTTGTGATAAACCTCGACAGGTTTTTGCAACATTTAATATTTCCAACAGAATACATTTCTTTCGATGCAAATCTTTTTAGGCATTATAATTATCAGTGACTGGATACTCAGTACAGTACTTGGTACTTTTCGTACTTTTTCCTTGCGAATATCACATACACAGTACATTTTTCACAGTACAAGTACGTTTACTTTTTACGTAACACATGTACTTTGTACTTGTACTTAAGTACATTGTACTTGAGTATAGTGTACTTAAGTACGAATTGGTTGACCAATGCTTCGTAGTATAATTGTCATTGAGTAGACTGTAATATTAAAGCCAATTCTAGCAATTGTGTTATTGATGAACATGAATGTGAATATTCTGTTTTTTTATCAAACTTTAACTAATTTTTCAAGATACTAACCAATATTTATTGCTATGGATGAGATATTTATGTCAAATTTTATTTTATATGAAATACAATTCTGTTGTTACAAGATATTCTTCTTTCTGTGCAAAATGATAAAGTAGTTCTATACAAAATTTTGCGACAGTATTGAATGGCAGAGCAAAAGAAGAGATTCAAATAAAGAATTAAAATTTTTATCATTTTGAAAAGAATCACTAATTGATGAACATTAACGTTTCAGAGGAAACAAAATAAATGAATTGATAAAGAACGAAATTAACAAAAGATATCTGATGACAAAGTTAGTGTGCTTGAGAAATAAAATGCAATCAATTTATAACAAGTTTTCATTTACACGTAAAAAAACTAAATCACGAAATAAATGTTCGTTCATGTTTGTTCTTCTTGATGATAATATCAGCCCCGCATAAGAAAAGACACGTTCAATAGGGGCTGAAGATGCTTGAACTGAAAATATACGGGCCACCAACTTCTTCAGAATGTTCAATTGCGAATGAAACCAGTAATCGGAAAATTTTGATCGCACTGGATCATTTAAATAAGCATCTAATTCAACAGCAGGATCAAGTGTTGTTGATTCGCTTGCATCATTCATACCACTATCTTCGTAATTAAATAATTTTCGACGCTTTTTTCTTGATGTAGAGCTCGAACTTGATGATGTCGTTAGATAAACATTAGCTTTATGCGATTCGGTTGTACATGGTTTTGAATCCTTACTTATTTCATTAATAATCAATTGAATTATATTTTGTTTCAAACGATTTTCCATTTGAACACCTAATTGTAAATCACGAATCCAGTAGAACTTAAAAGAAGGATCTAAAAAAGCAGCAATAAAGTAGAGTGGATCACCATAATGATCATTGTTAATAACATCAACTTGGTTTAATCGATTAATAATACCGGAAAATCGTGTTTCTATGGATGCTTGAAGTTGTTGAACGAGTTTTCCACAAAATGAAATATCTTCGTTGATATCACGAAGATGAGTAACTAAATGTACAATTGACGGTACCACCAAACTAACAGTGACAACAGTTTCTGCTTGACATTTAATTGATATGTCATAAAACGGATCGAGAATACTAACTAATTCTTCTAAAATAATGATATCATTGTTTGAAAATTTAACTGGAGTGTTCATTAAAGATGTGATTGCTTCCAAATCATGTTTATTAATCGATAAGATTGATTTGATTAACATATATTCACTATTCCATCTAGTCAAATTCATTTTGGTAATGTGTTTATTCAGTTGATCAAGCAGATCAGCGATTTTCGATGACTTATGTGAAAACTTAGCGAGTGTTGCACATTTATCAAGTAATTTAGGTATATGAGAAGTCTTTTTTAAACCGTCACGCACACACAACTGTAAAGTATGCGCAAAACATGATAGACGTAATACTGAAGAATTTTCACAATCGTTAAAATGATCATCATGTTGAATGTTAATAATTTGAAAATTACTGATCTCAACATCTTCTATAATACAAAGAATTCTTTAAGTAAATCCTTTATGAATTATCAAACAAGAAGGAAACAACGAATGAATAAAGTATTTATACATAGAGAATAATAGAAATAAATTTTCTCATCAAAACCATGAGCAGTTAGCATTCTCATCAACACATTGTTGTATGTTGATACTAGTTTGTATTTCAATATGATCATGTAGACTAATTGTGTTTTAAAAAATAGATCGTTATGTATTTTTAAAAGAAACTCTTCAGATATTTAGAGCGTCCAGTACTTCTACCAGTAAAATCAAGCGTATGGAAGTGTTGTTAAGATTATCAGTAATTACAAACCGACTTTTAATAACAAAGTTACATTCGTATATTTTCTGTTCAATCCGTGCTCATTGAAACGTAGCTAAATCACTTACGATCATAATCATGCAACATTATGTTTGTATTTTCCATTATTTTTATTTCATCGTTATAGATATCAACAGCCTCATCATCATCATCAACGGATAAACCAAATTTATACGCTTTAATCATTGATGAAGCATTATCGGTAACTATTCTATAAACTTTTTCTTTAATATTAAAACGATCAAGAATACATTCGGTCATTTGTTGAATATGTTCACTTGTATGAGGAGATTTAAGGCGTACAAAATCAATTAAAAATGATTGTGGCTCCATCTTAGAATTGATGAAGTGACATGTTACACCTAAAAATGACCTACATCGCCTGTCTGACCATCCATCAACAGTTAATGTAACATGATCCACAGTATCTAATGTTTCCTTAATAATTTTATTCACCTTCTCTGTAAATGTAGGAATTGCATCATGTTTCACTCTTTTTGCCGATATTGGATCCCATTTGAAATTGCACTCTTTCATAAAATTACGAAAGGCTAAATTTTCTACCAGGTTTAATGGTAAATTACATTTAATAATCAAATATTTAACAATAGCTATATTAATACGATTTTGTTTAGATTTAAGTGTTGATATATCGGTTGTTATATGACCATCACTTTCAATAGTTAAATCTTCTGACAAACTTTCATCTTGATTGGAAAACAATTGTTGATATTCAAAAAAGTGCTTTCGTTTTATATGTTTTAAAAAATTACTTGATACACCGTTTTTATCTTTATAATTCTGATTGCATAATTTGCAGTGTCCATTGACTCTGTTCTTGTCGATGTTGTATAAATCAAAATATTTCTTCCAGGATTCACGAACCATTGAATGATGTTTAAGATCTAGATAAAGAACTATTTTCAAGTTTATGTCACTAGTATACTAAAAGTGAATAACTGGTATGCTGACTTAGTATCGAAGCGATGTGATTGTTATTGATTGTATACTATCCACTAATAAGCTTTTGGATGATTTGATTTTTCGAATTCTCACCTCACCCTCGGCTTCTCAATCCCATCCGCTTCGAGTTAGCATTATTTATGATTTCTTACAAAATAAATCGTATCGATTAATATTAATACATATAAAAAATATGAAAATATTGAAGCCATCTTTTATTCTTTTCTAGTGTAGACATCATCAGACTATGAAAACAGAAAAGGTTGATACAAAAAATATTAAGTAAAGCTAGATGTGAAGTTATCCCTAGTCCAGTATCTAAGTGTCATGTACTCTAGTACATTGTACTGAAGTACCGGTACTGGAGTATAACATACTGCAGTAAATTATACTTGACTACCGGTACTTAAGTACAATTTACTGTAGTATATTGTACTTAAGTACAAATACAAGGTACAGATGTTAAGTAAAAAGTAAATGTACTTGTACTTGCTGTTCTTGTACTGGTCCAATCATTGATAATAATTGTGACATCTGTTCATTATTGGATATTTCATATGAAAAGTCTGTCATTCGTTTTTCTCTTTAAATTCGTAAAATGTCGAAAAACAATGAATCTTGTAAACGACTACAAGTCATAGATACTAACTAGTAGTTCCCAATATTTATATATCTAAATGATTAACTCATCCCAGCACTACAGACGTTGAAAACTTCATTTTATTCAAAGGAACTTCGCTAAGGTGCGCTATCTTGTATGTGCAGTTTGCATAGAGTGTTGGAAGTCCTAACATATTATATGTCTAAAAACATGTTGTTATGATTCTTCGTATGATGTATGAGAGGCCTGTGAAAATTCAGTATCAGACTCAGAATATATTTCTTTCAATTTGAGTGTTTTTAGATACGCTCAGAGCAATAAAACCTGTTTCTCCTCCGGGATTTTAGCACTAAATTTCCTTGTTCATGCATCTGGCGAAGATGTGAACTGAAGATACATTTCAATCCTATAACGACTACTAATCATGGCTATGACTCGATAACTCTGAAGAATGCCACACTAAAATGATCAGGTTGCTGAAAACTATAAACGGCGAAAATCTTGTTATGCTTCAAGAAAACTTATTTTATTATAGTATTTGTCGTCTGAAACTGCATACCTGTAATTTTGAAAAAAGACAATAGAGAAAAATTCTTCAGTTCAGGGAATACGACATCTAGAAAAAATATGCTGATATATATTTACACGGTACTTACATCATAGAGAACCTGATAAGCAACACAAATATTTATGAGAGATATGATACAAGAAGAAGAGATTCTTATGTAAATACACTCTCAATTATGAGTTTCTATACAACTAGTGAGGAGAAAATCTTTTGTCGCTTTTTGCGCGCTTAAAGCAGAAAGATACTGATTTACAACGAGGCGAAAAAAGAGTGCTTTATCATAGTGTTTTAAAAATGATGAGTTAGAGGGTCAACATTCAAAGAAGGCATTAGTAATATAACAGGTGCCCTGTGTCGACTTAAGGCCCACCCCCCACCCAAAATTTTATTTTTGCCATAGAACATCGAATCTTAACGAAATTTTCAGAGTAGATGTATCTTGGGCTGGGCACCTTGTGATAA